GACAGGTAATTAGTCTCAACTGTTGACATATTTCTGTCTGATAGTTATAGTGGTTTCAAAATGATTTGCTTATTGTCATTGGTGCTTCAGCTAACTTCTTCCTGGTAACATGTCTCCTTTTGTTTACATTTTTCAGATTGGTATAATTGATCCTGATTGTAGATTAATTGGACTTCATTTATATGATGGGCTGTTTAAGGTATTATAAATTTTATAGCTTATTGTCTAAGGCCTACATATTTTTTGGTTACAGTCTTCCATTTCATTCGCATAGAAAGTTCTTTGGAAGTAAAGCATGTATATCCTCCTTGTTGTCTCAGGTTATTCCTTTTGATAATAAAGGGCAGCTCAAAGAGGCTTTTAATATAAGGTATTCCTTTACTTGCTTTTTCTCCATGTTCTTCTGGTCAAAATAGGACATTTTTTTGACCCTGAAAGCAAAAAAATTGTTTTGATCCCAAACAACAATGAAAAGCCGATGCACAATAACCTGGCTTTTTGACTATCACTTAAATCACTTCTTTTTTTTTCTTTGGCATGTGCTTTGCCTACGCTCAAATTATACCGAAGCACATAGTTAAATGTCCTGGTGTTATATTTTACTTTAAATTTGTCCCTAATATCACGTTTCTTTTGATGACTTACTCTCAGGCTTGAGGAACTTCAAGTTTTGGATATCAAGTTTCTATATGGTTGCTCAAAGCCTACAATTGTGGTTCTATATCAGGTCTGAATTTTCTTTCCAAATAATTTTATTTGAGAAAACTGTTTTACAACAGTCCACCCTGTAAAATTACTTAAATGCTCTTATATTTGTTTTTATATTATTTTATCAGGGGCATTTAAATAATTTTACAGGGCGGACTGTATACAGTCTGCCCTATAAAACAGTTTTCAGATTTTATTTATAGTCTACTTTTTTCTCCTTTGAAATCTCTATGTGATAGAGTAGTGGATGGGAAATGTCCCAGGTTCTCTGTAGTGTGTTGGAAAGTATTTTTTGAATTGGGTATCAAGGATGCAATTACATTGCCATGTAAATACCTTTTAAGAGTTTAGCTTCAAACATTCTTTATTGTCAAGTAATGAATATTATTACTTGATTATATACCTTAGACACTTAATCTCCAAGTATGCAAAGTTTATACTTCAAAAGGAAATATTGTAATTTATATTGCAATTTTACGTTGCCATTGAGCTGGAGTGTGGTTTTGCGGCATAAGTCAGGCATGATAGATATCATGATGGTTTAGAACGTGTTTTTTGACAAGCCCTAGATTTCCTTAAGGCTTCATGTTCTATGGTTCATTTTATAAATTACACAGGCATACTTGTAGTTGTGTCTTTTTCTTTTTTTTTTTTTGCTGAAGCTTTTAGTTGCCTCTCACTCTGCCCTCCTTTGTGCAGGATAACAAAGATGCCCGTCATATCAAAACATATGAGGTTTCTTTGAAGGACAAAGACTTTGTTGAGGGACCTTGGTCCCAAAACAATCTTGACAATGGAGCTAGTTTGCTTATACCTGTACCTCCACCTCTCTGCGGTGTTCTTATCATTGGAGAAGAAACAATTGTTTATTGCAGTGCTAATGCATTTAAAGCAATCCCAATCAGACCTGTAGGTCACTTGTAAAGTTGCCAAAAATTTTGTAGAAGCGTTTAATTTCATTTAACTTTAAAGAGCTTAAGCAGCAATCATTTGTGGACTACTTTTGTTCTTACTCAAAAACTTCACGTGCATTTCTAGTCTATCACTAAAGCTTATGGAAGAGTTGATGCTGATGGTTCAAGGTATTTGCTTGGTGATCATGCTGGGTTCCTTCACCTGCTTGTTATAACCCACGAGAGAGAAAAGTGAGTTATGATTCATTTGGCTTTAGTCACTTGAAGCAGTTCAAATTTTAGTTTTATTTCACAAGAAGAGTGTGTTACTGTGACCATCTTTTAAATGTGTGTCATCTTGTATATCTTGCAGAGTTACCGGACTCAAAATTGAGTTCTTGGGTGAAACGTCTATTGCATCTACCATATCATATCTTGATAATGCATTTGTCTTTGTTGGCTCAAGCTATGGAGATTCACAGGTATGGTAGACATACATTTTGTT